AGCTGCTGGTTAACTAGAGACTTGCCACTTGTTTTGGAGCCGAGGGATCCAAACTGGCCTCCAGTGGGAGAGGGGCATGTTTAGAGGACTAACAGCTAGTTTGTCCTGGCAGGAGTCAGGGAGGATCTAGTTTGATGTTTGGAAAAGTTAAATTGGGTCAGAAGAGTCCAAGTAGAACAGCAGGGTCAGGCATGAGAGCATGTTCCTGTTCAACTCTGTGGGCCCCTGTGGTGTGAAGTGAAAAAGCATAGGATGGACGGCTTGTGTGACTGGCCAATGGTTGCCCTTTGAATGTGAAATGCCTCCAATGCTCTCCCGTGTCTGAACACTCCATCCCCAGCTGGTCATGGGGCTGTTTTAGAAGGCTGTCAAACCTTTCAAAGGTAGTGTTTTACATCTTGGGCCTCTAGCCCCCTTCCAGCCTGCTCTCTGCTTCCTGATTGCAGGATACAATGTGACCAGCCACTAGTGACCTGCAGCAGTGCCTTCTCCACCATGATAGATGGTGCTCCTTAAACTAAGATAGGCCCTTCCTCCCTTAAGTTGCTTCCTTATGGGAGGTACTGTCACTGGACTAACAGTGCAGGGAGCAACCATCCTGGTGTTTACCCAGTGCCTTCCTTTGTCTTCCTGTGCTCACAGTAGGGCTATGTTTCTCGGACCCTTCTGCAGTCAGGTGAAGCCATGTAACCAAGGTCTAGCCCATGAGGTGTACCCGGAAGAGAGACTTACTTCCAGGACCAGCCCATAGCAACCTCTTGTAGGACCCTCAACATTCTCTTTCTACATTTGCTGGAGGACACCCCAGGCCTGCAACATGGGGAGCTCAAAGATAGGAATATGCTGGTATCCTGGTGACCACTTAATGGAAAACTGTGTGGACAGTTCAGTGGGCAATGAACCCGTTATTATGTTAAGGCATTGAAGTGTTGGGGGCATGCTTGTAATGGCTCTTAACCTACTCTCATAGAAGCCATAATGGCTACTATTTATTGAGCCCTATCTCAGTGTATTCACACAGCAAGTCAATGAGAATGGGCCCCTTCCATATACTACAAGAGGAAATTGGAGCATTGCTGGCATCAGGTGAAGAACACAGTATTCTGCTCCCCAAATGCAGAATCCAAGTACAAAACTGTGTTTTACTGGCTCCCAGGGTGAAAGGAATGGATGAAAACTAGGTCGGCATGGAGACTTGATGAGGAGTTACTGCAGTGTTAGTAGCTGGGAGCCTGGGAGATGGGGAAACAGGATATGGTCCATACTTATTGAAAGGGTATCTGAAGGGCTCAGTGCACACAGACCTAAATGCAGGTGTATAGTAATCTGTCTGACTGTCTATTATCTATCTATCTATCTATCTATCTATCTATCTATCTATCTATGTATCTATCATCATCATCATCTCTGTATATGTACAGGTGTGTGTGTGGGGGGCGCACACATGTGGCATGTACACATGTACACATTACAGCTTACATGTGGACAGCCTTGTGTTTTATTCCTCATTTTCTGCTTTGTTCTTTTGAGACAGGGTCTTGGCTTATTGGATGCTGCGTGCACTAGGCTAACCAGCTCACTGTGACTTGGCGTTCTCTTGCCTCTGTCTCCTGCCCTGCCTCTGCCTCTCTATGCTGTAGGAACCCTGGAATTACAGACTTGCTGGACCACCTCAGGATTTATGTGAGTTCTGGGGACTCAGATTCAAGTTGCATGCTTACACGACAAGGACTTTACTCACTGAGCCATCTCCCTATTCCTAGCTAGAGGTTTTAAAGTAAGAAGTGGTGCTGGCCTGGGAGGAAACAGGAGAGAATTGTTCTAGAAGCCCCACTGGGAGTGTGTGTGGTGACTATCTTATCTTGCTGCTCACAAGGACACAGAGGAAGGCTGAAGAAGCATCTTGTGCAGTGTGATGTTGGGGTAGGAGGAGGCAGGAAGCAAGATGGAAGATAACCAGCATGAAAACAAGGTCCAAGCTTTTGGCCATGCAGAGATGCTCAGGGGAGCCTGTATCAGGGCTCTGGCTTGCTAGGCAGTCAACACACTGCCCAGCCTTTGTCTGGGTGTATCTACTTCTGTCCTGGAGTGGATACTTGTAATCTGCACCACTGTGTTCAAGTTCTTTAATCTCTTTGTGTCTCCTTTAATCATCAGAAAGTAGGGACAATGAATAACAGGACTTATCTCAGGGCTATTGTGAAAAGATTCAGTGTGCTTGTGGGACTGGACTTGTAGTGCGCTATTGGCAAGTGGTAGAGATGATCATTAAACTCCCTGGTCTTTAATAGTAGTCCTCCATCATCTCTATACACAGACACTCAGGTCTTCCATCTCTTTACAGAAGACACTCAGATCAGAGCTGTCAGCCCTGCAGAATCCAGAAACTCTGGTTAGAATAGCGATGGACTCACAGTCACTATTTAAATATTTGTGAGACAATCAAAGAAGGAAGCAAATTGTACCTTCTTTTTCCCCCTCCTCTTTCTCACCTTCCCTCCCTCCCTCTCTCCCTCCTTCAGTCTCTTCTGTCCTTCTGTTAGCTCACCTGCCCATCTACTTTTCTTGAAAGTTGATAGATTATGGCTGAGCTTATTCTTTCCTTCCGATAGTGGCAAAGTGTGTGTGTGTGTGTGTGTGTGTGTCATAAAATGTATCACTTAACTAAAAAGTGTGCAGTTTAGTGGCATTGAGTATCCTCAACTGTTTATCCATCTCTGCCATTCATCTCTAGAATATTTTCTCCCCCAACAAAAACCCAAGTCCCCTTGGATGCTCTATTCCAGGCTCTGGAAACCACTAGCTTTTTAAAACCAGCATGTATTTATTTATAAATATATTTATAGATAATAGATAGATAGATGATAGATAGATAGGGTTTGTGCAGAGGTCAGAGGACAACCTGCAGGATTGCAAGAGTTGGTTTTCTCCCTCCACTTTGTAGGTCCTGGAGATCAAACTCAGTTATCAAGCTTGGAGAAAAACTACTTTACCCACGAGGCCATTTTTCTCCCCTTCCTTTCCTTTTTTTTTATTTTTGAGATAAGGACTCATAAAGGCAGGCTGGCATCAGACTTTCTCTGTAGCCAAGGATGACCTTGCACTCTCCTGTGCCCACCTCCCACATGCTGGGATTACAGGTGAATACTACTATGTCTGGTTCTGTGTGGTGCTAAGAGAGGCCCATGGCTTCGTGTGTGCTAAACAAGTACACAGCCAACTGAGACCCATCCTGACCCCATTCTTCTTTCCGTATTTATAAATGTGACTGTCAGGGTACATCATATAGATGCAATTACATCGCCCTTTGTGACAGCTCACTGTTTTTATAATCCTAGGCTATGTCTTCCTGAAAAAGTGCTTTCTCTTCTGTGGCATGCTGTAAAGATGATGCCTAGGTCATGGAGTATTCACCAGGTGTATGTGAGACAATTTACAAGGCTGTTAGCCAGTTCCTGGCACACAGAAGTGTACAGTGTAACACCCAAGTATGTATTCTAAAGTTGATGGACATTATTATGTGTCTACTGTTTTATATGGTTATTGTAGGTGTTATAGCTCTGAGGAGAAAGGCTTCCCCAACAGGAGTATAGGAGTGTTACAGTTTTGAGGGGAAAGGCTTTCCCAAATGGAAGTGTTATAGCTCTGAGGGGGAAGGTTTCTCCAATGTAAGCCTTAAGCTTTGCTTGTGGGGGGATGTTCCCACTGCAAGTGATTCAATTGTGAGGGGAAAGGTATCCTGGCAGTCGGGAGCCAAGGAATACCACAAAGTCACACTGCACAACAAACGCCACACAAGAGATTGGGAGGATGGCTGCCTCTGCTCACATGAAAAACAGCAGAGAACTGAGCAGAAGACAGGGATTGTGTAGGGTTTCTTGGGGGACAGAGCTTTCCAGGAGGGAGATTTCCATGGTGAGGATTAGGGAAGTCTTTGTACTCTGTTGGGCAGAGCTTGGCTGCTTGTTTCTGGAGGGGCTGGGATTGACCCTTATGGCAGGTAGTTTTCTGTGGACGGAGCCTGGTGGTTGGAGGTCTTCAAGGGTGGGGCTTGGACACTTGTTTCTTGAGGGGCTTGTAGGCATATTCTGAAATATGGACGCTGACATTTGGTAATATATCTGGAGCTGCCTTGGGCCTTTCTCATATATTCACTCAGTGAAACCTTGTAAGGATGCCATGATATGGGTTCAGTCACTGTCATCTGCAGAGAAAACAGTGGAGATGATGAGAGTTCAGTTGTTCTCAGTTACATGGCTAGCTCCTGGCTTGCTCAGGTTGAGCTGGGGTTTCAGTGCGGGCAGTCTGAGTTGGGGGCGGGGGTGCATCTCATTGGCGGCCCCCTGGCTTCCAGTGTGTGAGGCTGTAGGTCCCACTCATCACCAGCTTTCCAAAGTCTACCAGCTTTACCATACACAGCAGTGCCGCATTGTCTCTTTCATCTTTAGGTTTCCAAAGTCTACCAGCTTTACCATACACAGCAGTGCCGCATTGTCTCTGCTGCTTCAGGCACCCAGCAGCCACCATCTACTCACACACACACTTGCTGGGTCAAGTCATCAGGATGAGCGTGGAAAAGGTCCTGGGTGAGAAGAAGGTGCATGGCAATGGTGGGATAATAATAGCGGAAGAGCTTATTGCTACTGAGTGTGTAGTTCTCTCTTCCTCAGGCCTGTGCACACATGCTGGCCACCTTTGGACCCTGGAGAGACGAGGGGGCCGGGAGTATGCTCTGCACGTGATGGAAGCAGGCCACACCTTTCCTGTTGCTGGCACCAAGCCCAGCAATCAGTCCCACGTGGCCCTTGCCCTGTTGAGATTAGAAAAAAAAAGTTTACCCTTCTGGGGCACCTCCCATCAAGCTTATTGCTTTCTGGACACCTTTGGGGGAACGTCTCCAGTCCTTTAAAAGAAAAGCCTGTAACGGACCGCTGGAGTGCATGCATTCTAGTGCGGCTCGTGCAATTCCTGCTAGCCCCGGCTTGAACCTTCTCGCACTCATGTCTGGGGAGGTGAGTTTGTTGCCTGGGCAAGGACACCAAGGATGTGTTCAAGGCTGGGGATGAGGGCTTCTGTTTGGGAACCACTGCCACCCATGTTTTCTCTCTTTTTTTCCCTACGGCAGGCACCGATGTGTGAAGTGGACCTAGGTGGCGGCAAGGTGAAGGAGACCAACACGGTTGGCAGATGCCGTGTGTCCTTTTATGAGCGATACATACAGCCGTGTATGGCAGAACTTTTGGGCTCTGCCCTCTTCATCTTCATCGGTTGCCTATCAGTAATTGAGAACAATCCAAATGCCGGGCTTCTACAGCCAGCCCTGGCTCATGGGCTGGCCCTGGGGCTCATCATCGCTATCTTGGGAAACATCAGGTGAGACCAGCTCCAGCATTTAGCCTAGTGCCAATCTAGAGAGCTCTTAGGCATCCACTTGGGGTCTTACAAATGGGGATGGGGTGGGGTCATCTGCAGCCTGTGAATTCTATGGGCAGATCATTCTCCAGGTCTGTTAAATGGGAATAATATTGTTACTATTTTTTTTTAAAGTTACTTTCCAAGCCAACACACATCTGTTGCTAACTATGCCTCTGCTCTTCACTGAATGTTCTTTTGATGTCATTCTATTCTCATAACAAATTGATGGAATAGGTCATGTTATTCCCACCCCCCCTTTTTTTTCAAAAGAGAAAGTTCACATCACCACTGGTATGTGCTAGAGGGGTGGAGCCAGGAGTCAAGTTCAAGCTGTCTGACTCTAGTGCCCCAAGTTGAGCACCTAAGGAGAGGAGAATGTGAGGTACTCAGTCCTCTCTGCTCTTGCTGTTATGTTTTGGAAGTGGATTAGGGAAAGTGAAGCAGCACAGAAGATCTGGCCAGGGTTTTATTTATCTACTGTAGTACACAGAAGGCTGTTGGGGCTCCAACTGGACAGGAGGTGTTTTTTTTTTTTTGTTTTTTTTTTGTTTTTTGTTTTTGTGGGGCCAGAAAGATGACCCTTCTCTTGTGTGGCTTTCAGCTGGGTAAGGGTTCTGGGATGGGTTGTGGGAAGGAGGGCCATTTCCTAGCAGAGCCAGCTGTTAGGGTGGATATCGCCCGCTAGAGGCATCTGACTGAGTGAACTGGGCCAGGGCTGCTCTCTATTTAATCTCACTCAGAACCAGATTTGAGTGGAAACAGTGACATGCTGTTCTCTGGGAAGCAAGAATGGACACTTTTCTGTCTCTTTAAATGTCCAAGGAAGGCTGTGAGTGGGATGGAAAGCACATGACCTTTTATCTAGGTAGGCCTGTTGGTTTCCTGGCTGGGTGTCTGAGGTGAGCCACTGAGCTTCTGTGCAATTGTGTGACACCGAAGATGGCAACAGCTGCGGTTCAGTGAAGTCCTGAGTATGACTAGTAGGCAGAGATGCATGCTGAATACACACCAACATCTTGGTTTTGCAGTCTGTGTGTGGTGTACAGATTTGGCACTTGGCCACATTTCTGGAGGGCTGGACCAAGCTCTGGGGAGCCTAGGGGAATTTATGGATGTTCTCCTTATGTATTTGTCCCTAAGGCCACCTAGAGCCTGGATTTAGGGCTGTTCCACCCATCCCCAGCTCCCTTTGTGCCTCTCATCTCATCACAAGGCTTTTCAAGGAAAATGGGGATTTGCTGCATTTCTGCTTATGACAGGGCCAGCTTGGGGGACAGGCTAGAGTACATATTCTCATTCCATGGTGAGCCTTGGACCTTGGCCTCAAGGCTTCCTTTTCCTCTTGGTTGTAGTGGTGGACACTTCAACCCTGCTGTGTCTCTGGCAGTTACACTCATTGGAGGCCTCAACATCATGCTGCTTATTCCCTATTGGATCTCCCAGCTGTTTGGGGGACTGATTGGGGCTGCCTTGGCTAAGGTCAGTGATCCCTGCTGGGACTGGGGCTGGTGGCTTGTTTCTGATGGCATTTCCTTCCCCTTCCCCCTCTTTCCTTAGGGTTGATACTCAGTTTATGCTTGAAATCTTTCCATCAATCAAAAAAGCTAGTTCAGGGGCCAAAGAGATGTCCCAATGGTTAAGAGCACTGGCTGCTCCTCCAGAGGACCTGGGTTTAATTCCCAGCATCCACATGGCAGTTCACAACCATCTGGAACTCCAGTTCCAGGGGTCCCACATGTCCCACATCCTCTTCTGGCCTCTGTGGTTACCAGGCATGCATGTGGGACACAGACACACATGAACACAAAACACTCATACATATAAAAATAAAGTATTTTCTAAAATAAGCAAGATCTTTTTAGCTGCAGGTTCCTCCATCTGTCAGCACTGGTGATGGATCATAGGGCCTTCCATATGCTAGAGAAGGGTTCTACCATAGACTTTATCCCCAGGCTGGCCCAAAGAT